CAGTGTTTCTACTTATTACCTTGCTCTGTTTCCCTGTTAAACGCCACTCTTCCTGCAGTGACACTATTTGTGTGTTTTACTTTCAAACTCTCAGAAAGGGAGATCTGACTCAGGCATACAATACCATTCAGTATAGAAGGTCATTGGACCAAGGAACATTCCTGGACCAGGCAGCTATAGACGGTGGGTTGGATTCAGATGTTTAAAGCACCTTAAGCATTAGCCACCACCCTTAGGACTGGGCAGACCCTCTGGCTTCCCAGAAGGGGGCAGTGTGTCAGGTACCTTTTTTGGCCCATCCAGGACCCTGGGCAGTGTGATAGAACAATGAATGAGAGGTAACTTATCCTGAAAGAGCTCACAATGTGGACAAGGAAGCAGATACTTAAACATATACTTAATTTTATGATATAGTTAATATTTACCATGCAGGGAGAGAGCAGCTAACTGCCTTAGAATGGTGGTAGGAAATTCTTCATTGAAGCCATATTGAGATGGCAAAGGATATTCCTGGCAGGAAAAAAAAAAGTCTTCTGCAGAGATGGGTGCAAAATATCATAGTATATTTATGAAGTTTTTTTGTGCTATGAGAAGAGGGCCATAGTTGGTATTTAAGGGGCTCCAGGAAGAAAGTCTAATTTATGGTACTGATGAAGATGATTAGACACAGAACTAGGAGAAAAAGTCCTCACAGAAGAGTAGAGGAGAGACCTACAAGAGAGTTAGCACAATCAACAGTGGCTGACACCACATTATAAAGGGAAGACTGACTACAGTTTCCCTGAGAAGGGATCCTGAAGCATCTTGAGTTTTAGCTGGTGAGTTTTGTAGGTCTAGGAAGAGTCTAGGACTAGAAACCTAACCTCAGGGAGTAAGCGTTCTTGAAGTTCTATGTCAGTCACAAATTCATTCTTAGGAATGTCTAGAAGCCAAAACCAAGAAACCTCATGTTTCCTAAATAAACAGGAAATGAAGATAAAGCTTGATCTGTAACAGTTCTTAAGTTTCTCATATTTTTCTAAACACAATTTTGTTTATTTTTAAGTCTTCAAAGTAGTTTCTCAAAACACATTGTTTTGCTAAAAAATCTGTTATTTTTTTTAAGGTCATAAGTATATATGCTATTATTTAAAATAGGTATGTTTCTTGGTAATGTGTGGCAAAAATAACTCCCTGAAACATGCGTGTTTAACCAACATGAATTGGAGATGGCTCTCATCTCCCAGTGACTTTACAGCTATCTGTTTAGATTAGCTTTGGTTAAAAAAAGGTTTTTTTCCTGCTATGGCTGTGATATATTAATTGGATGACAAATCACTGCTATATCCATACATACACATACACACACACACTCATCTGATAAAAATAACCCTATGTATGCCTGGTTTAATGGAAGATTATATGTTAGGATTATAACAAAAACAATACAAGTATGTAAAAAAAAATTTCAGAGTTTGGTTCCATTTCAGAGAGAAATTAAATAGAGTAGATACGATTTATTCCTGACAAATATAATAGGATTTACTGTATATTTCATTGATTCAGAGATCCCAGTGGTTGTAAGTTGTACCATTATTCTATATACCATGAAGGAAAAAAAAAACCTGCCAGTTAAATTACAGTAACATTTGATTGCAAGAGGCATTCAGATTTCAGATATTAAAATGTGAAAAAATACAAATTTTAGAATTAATGACATAATTATTACAAAGAGACTAGGAAAAACACTTTGGTTTATACTTGCAGATTAACTTAGGAACAGTGAAAGTTGTTCTGAATAACATCTAAATTGTAAATTTAGTCTTAATTAAATACAGAATTATTTAAAAAGTTAATAAGAATAGTCATTAAAATTTAAAACTAGGAAGGCTGTAGGACTGCCAGAGTTAATAGGTGATCATTCACTTAATATATGTTCATACCTATTATGAGCCAGACGTGTTTAGATGTTAGGTGTATAGATGGATATAACACGTGGTCCCCTCACTCATGGAGCTTACAGTTCATAAGAGAGGAACATTTTGCAAACTGCATTAGCCATGTTAAAGGAAAAATACAAGTGCTGTGAAAGAATGGAATTGGGAGTTCTTAATTGAAATTGGGAAAGTCTGAGGAGTTGAGGAAAATCTAGAGAGTGGGTAGAAATTAGGTAAAAAGTAGGCAGAAAAGGAAGCAGCCTGTCCAGAAGCCCTGAGTAGGAAAGATTGTGGGGTTTTTGAGGCAGTGAAGAAGCGGGGGAGGGGGCAGGTCTGGTGACAGGAATTGAGGTGAGACCACATGGTGCAGGGCTACTTAGGTTGGGCTGAACATTTTGGATTTTAGTCTAAGCCCGGGGCAAGCCACCGGAGGATTTTAATGGAGGAGGTAACCCTGGCTGCACTGTGAAGTCTGGGTAAGATTCAAAGTTAAAGAAGCCTCCTTAGGAGCCTGTTGCTAATTCAGACCAGGTAAGAGCAGCTTGACCTGGGTGGACGTGTGAATGGAAGACAAATTTTTAGAAGATTATTTGCCCATATTATCAAAAATCTTCATTTGTGTACATTTTTTACCCAGCATTTCCATTTCTGGGTGTTTATTCTAAAGAAATAATTTAGGCCAAACGTGGTGTAATCCCAGCACTTTGGGAGGCTGAGGTGGGTGGATCACCTGCTCTCAGGAGTTCGAGACCAGCCTGACCAACATGGTGAAACCCCTGTCTCTACTAAGAACACAAAATTAGCCGGGCGTGGTGGCACATGCCTGTAATACCAGCTACTTGGAAGGGTGAGGCAGGAGAATCACTTGAACCTGGGAGGAGTAGGTTGCAGTGAGCCAGTTGCGCCATTGCACTCCAGTCTCGGCAACAAGAGCTAAACTCCATCTCAAAATAATAATAATCTCATAGCCCTTAAACATAAATAAGGTAAAATAAAATTTAAAAAAGAATCTCAGATGTTTGTAAAAGTTCAGCTACTAGAATGCTTATCCCTATTATTTATAATAAAAGAAATTGGTCTAAAAGATTATAGTATTTTCAGACAAATGGAAAGGAAGGAGACAAATTAGACTTTAAGGAGGCCACGCCATCCAGGAAGATTTGTTTAGACAAGGAACGTCCTTTGTGTGTTTGACTGGGGGCCAGGAACAGAAACTGAAAACCCGTAACAGAGAAGAGATACTCCTGAAACAGATTTGTGGGAAGAGAGATAGCTAGGACCAGAGGAAAGATGATCGAGCACCTTGGTCCAGGAGCGCAGGAGTTTCTGGTATAAAAATGCACTGCAGTTCCACTATGAGGCTTATTTTTTGGAAACTAGCCTAGGAACCAAACCACCTCTTGCAACATTGTTACTGGAGGGGGAAAGTGCTTTTAATACTAAAGACTTGAAAGTGAGTTTTGGTATGCAGTCACCACATAAATTCAGTTACCTACAAATCTGAGCCTCCTGGAATAAGTACCAACTGAGCAGGGTGGATTTTTTGGAAGACACTTTATCCCCTGTGTTCCTCACCCCTACCTTCCTTTCTCTCCCTTCTTCTCTCTCCTTTTCCTCCTCTTCCTCCTTTCTTCTCTGCTTTCTTCCCTTCTCTCCATCCCCCCTTCCTCTTTCCTTCTTCTCCTCCCTCCCTCTCTTACATTCTTCCACACATCCCCTAACATTTATATTTTATAATCAGCATAAAAAGCAGCCAAGCACGTATAAGTAAATGAGATAATCCTCCTTTTTTCATACTTTTTGAAAATCTCATATTGCTTCTATATAACAGTATTTGTGTGTGTGTGTGTGTCTGTAAGGAAATATTTTACTCTGTGGTCCTAATGCCCATTTGCAAGTTTCAAACCAAATGTTACGTATTCTTTGTATTTCTAAAAATATCTAGGCCATTCGCTGATACAGAGGTGTTTAATATTTTGGCTTCTACTTTCCTCACAGTCTTGATGCTTCAGTGAGACCGGTTAACTGTTTCCTTTCTAGTGAATATTTATTTTTAAGTAGTTTCTTCTTCTTTTTTTTCTTTGGCTGATTCTCTGAAGATTGTACTTCATAGTTGTGATTAGCTGGAAAATTCCTAGAGGAGTTTGAATTTGTCTTTTTAGTAAACTTGAGGTTCTTGTCTTGGGCATTTCCTTGAGTATTTCCTTTTCATATCAGTGTAGAAAAACTGTTGTCTAGCTTTATAAACTTTTCAAAATAGTTACTGAAATTAGCTTAGTATTTGTAAAGTTGTTACTAATCCCAAGGTGCAGTTGCTTTAACTGCATGCTTATGAATCAGGTTTTCAAATCTGTGCATATCGTGTATGCTCATGGGGATGTGGGTATATTTTAAAATTAGTGATTTTCGTGAGCTTGATGCTTTGCCTATTAGGCTTCGTAGAGTTAATTCTCAAACAGTTCTTAGTTTAGAGATTGTTTTATTCTGGTAAATCCACACCATTTAATGGAGTAAAGATCAAATGTTTGTACTGATAATTTTTATTCTTTTTAGAGTACCCCAAGTGCTTGTCAGAAATCACTGTTCTCTGAAAATAAAAATTTAATCATGTAGGCTATGAAAAATTGTTTTGGGATCATAGATGATGTAGTTAAGTTTCACTTCACTTATTAAATATTTATTGAGCTTATTTCAGATAAATGAGCATATCCACCAGATTCTGTCTGTATTGACTTAATGTATTGGAAATCCTGGGATAAAAGCGTAATAATACACCCTTCTAAATATTTGTTATATACTTGGGTGGTAGAATTGAAAACAATGCAGTCTTAGTGAATATATTTGTTAATACGGTGCTTAATGTCTTGGGATTCATTTTGTTAACTACAGTGGAACAAAGGTCTGCATGATATATGTCAGTAGTATATAATTCAGAATCATTTCAACCTTTAAGTCATTTGGGGTTTTTAGCAGTTAGCTTTTTTATTACATGTCCATTGGAAGTATAAAATAGAACCATTTGTTCTTGGAAATTATCTTTCATATATAAATTTCTCATTTTCTTTGTTTCTCCATCCATTTTAGTCGTGAGATGGAGAATAAAGAAACTCTCAAAGGGTTGCACAAGATGGACGATCGTCCAGAGGAACGAATGATCAGGGAGAAACTGAAGGCAACCTGTATGCCAGCGTGGAAGCACGAATGGTTGGAAAGGAGAAATAGGCGAGGGCCTGTGGTAAGTGGCTATGGGTTACCAGCTGTAAGGAAGAAAGCATAGGAGGAAATGGAAAAGTAAGCATAAATAGATCCTCTCGTAAGCTTTTCTTCTTCATTTTAAATGTAGTAGTTTTAATTACTTGATATTGCGGTCATTTGGAAGAAACCATAATTAAAACTACGCTCATTAAACAACTTAAACTGTTCTGGGAACTTAACTGTTGTGTTTGGTGGAGGGGTAAATGCTTAAACCAAGACTACCCTCTCATGTCAGTATCTAAAATCCTTTCATTGGAGTTTTATACTGTACTTTCTAAATTTCAAAAAGAATTTTTCCAGTTTGTTTTAGATGTTTTATCTCTACGACTGGATCCAAGGATCTTAATTTCAGAAATCTTCTAGGAAAGAAAATATTTAATTGCAGTAATTCATAAGTGTAATAATTGGGTTTTTACATGCATGCGTAAGATGTGCATTTCTCCAACTTTGTTACAATGTCAGCATGTTACCCTCATTTGACTTGGAAAAAAAAAAGTTTAATAGACCCATGGAGATTAAGGTAAATTAAAAATGTATGGGGTTTGATGAAAGAAAATCTAGAGTCCTAGATTTTAAAAAGCAGGGATACTCCATCCTTTGCTATAGGTATAAGAATATATATTCTTACAAGAATACCATCATGAAATGTGTGTCTTCATTCTTACAAAGGAAGAAGTATTACAGTATCCTAGCACTTACCTGTATCAGCAAGTTTGTGTTTATTTTGTTCTTTTAAAACAGATAACGGCAACTTAAAATTTATCTAAACTTTGACAAGGGTCTAAAGTACACCCCTGCCAAATGATTGTCTGCCCTGCATTCATCCCATATGCCTATTTAAGTTTAGATTTAAATTAATTAGATGTAAATAAAAGTAAAAATGTAGTTCCTCAGTCTCACCAACCACATTTCAAATGCTTAGTAACCACATGTGGCCAACGGCTACCCTTTGGGCAGTGCAGTTTTAGCACATTACCATTGCCTCAGAAAGCTCTCTTAGATGCGTAGTACTGACTCGTGTCTGACTTAACTCCATAATCCCTGCGGCTTTCGATATCCTCATTACTGAGCTGCAGTCTGTCAGGAATATTTTACCCGCTGGTTCTAATTCTAACCCATGGAATTCTACAGAATAAATCTAATTGTTCCTTTCCGTACCAGCACTTTAAGTTACTATGGGCCCATGAGTCTTTGTCTTTACAGCTAAATTTCTACATTTCTTCCATTTATTACTCATGTGAGGTGGTGTGGTGGGAACCCCTCACCATTTTAGCTATTTGTGCCAGAAGATGAATATGAAGAAATTAAGGATTTATCTTAGAGAAGAGAAAGTGCTGTTGAAACATCTTGTAGAAGGTTGGCAGTTAAAAGGGCGTATTACTACTCAGTTAATATAAAGAACTTTTAAACAAACAGAGACATCTGAAGTTTCAATGTGCTGCTTTCTGAGCTCCTTTAGATGGAGGCGTTCAAACAGAGCCTAAATCTTTTGAGAATACCGTAGGGCATAAATCACAACTTTTTAAAAACGAGCCAGCCGTTTGTTTTTTATTACGTATGAACTAAGAATATCCATTTCTCTAAGACAGAATTTTAGTTTTTATACTGTTCACTTTCTAGCAAATACGTACCTTGTCTGTATATAAGACATGCATGAAGAGGGAGGAGATGTGTGGAATAAGATGCATAACACAGTCCTTAAGCTTAATTATGCCACTCTACATTTTATGGTTTACAGATTTCATATTATCCTTAAGAAGTTTACTGTTTACTTGGGAGGTCTGATTCTGTTTTTATACTTTAAGTAAGTTGTGTCAAATCATTCTTGAAACATAAAGTGTAAATATCTCCAAATGGGAAAATTAGACTTATATGTAATAAATAGAGTAGTACATGAAATATCATAAAGCAACTTGTGACTAGGTGCCAAATGTGTGGGATGGGCAGAAGAGCAATAGGGACTTAGGAAAGAGAAAGAATGTCATGCTGGTAGACTTCAGGGAAGTTTCATAAAAGGAAGAATTTTAACTGAGTCTAAAAAAATGGGTAAATTTTCCTCTTGTGAAGGTGTACTCCTGGGGTGCTGCAGGCTGGAGATGAGTATTAAATTAGGAGGAGAGTAAGTGGAAAGCACAGGAGGAGGAAGGGTCAGGCAAGTTTGGTGAACACAGCAACTGGCTATAGAACAGGAGCAGTGAGAGAAAGTCCAGAAAGGTCTGCAGTTGTACAAGGCTGTGGAGTTTGGCCTTTGGTCATGGCTAGATTAGGTCTGAAAGCCTTAATTAAAAAAAAAAAAAAAAAAAAAAAGGCAGGTCTTCTAAACTGCATTTCTGCCTGAGAAATTGATCTTTAAAATTCTAACCTCTTTTGGTTTTCTGAGATACATATCTAACCTATTGTTGTAATATAACGTAAAAAACCACACACACACAAAAGCAGGGCAAAATGATTGCATAGTCATCAAACTATTTGAAATTATGCCCAGTGTTGTTTCAAGGTTCTACATTTTGTCAAAACAAATAAAAACATACCGAGGTCTTTGATCTAGTAGTTGAATGAGTTGACTATAGAAGTTATGAGTGCTTATTTTTCATATTTGTTTAATAACCTTTGATTGTTACTTTTGAGTGTTAAATGAGTTAGGGTATATAATAACAAATAATACCATTTCTGCAGTTTTGTATGCATTACAAAATTGTAAGGGAAGAGGTTGCATTTTAACTAGTGTTAAATCCTAAATGACTGAAATTTGTGTAGGTAAAAATAGTCTTTTACATTAATAGCTTAAAGTAATAATAAAAGTTGATATGTTGTCTGGTATACTGGTATATTTCATAACAAAAGCTCATTAAGTTTATTTCCTAGTCTATGATATTTACATTTACTTACCTTTTATATTTTTAAGTAATCAAAATACTGGAATACTTTGATTCAGGTGGTAAAACCAATCCCAGTTAAAGGAGATGGATCTGAAATGAATCACTTGGCAGCTGAGTCTCCAGGAGAGGCCCAGGCGAGTGCGGCTTCACCAGCTTCCAAAGGCCGACGCAGTCCTTCTCCTGGCAACTCCCCATCAGGTCGCACAGTGAAATCAGAATCTCCAGGAGTAAGGAGAAAAAGAGTTTCCCCAGTGCCTGTAAGTTAATGTTACAACGGATATGTTAGTTTTTATAATTTTTAGATTCATTTATAACAGAGAAAAGACTGGCCAGCCATCTGTTAGAACATCAGTTTTCAAAATATGATCTGCAGACCCCTGAGGATGGAGGGAGGGAGGCAGTTCCTGAGACCCTTTCTGGGGTCTATTAGGTCAAAACTAATTTTGTGATAAAACTGTGATGTTGTTTGCCTCTTTCCCTGCATTGATATTTGCAGTGGTGGGTAAAACTATTGGTGCCTTTTCCCAATTTAAGGCTACAGCTGTAGAAACTATATTCATTATTGCTATGTATCAGCCATTAAAGAGAAAAAAAAATGGCAGTTACACTTGATAATGCCTTTGACAAGGAAATAGAAATTAATTTTATTAAATCTTGACTCTTAGTAAATACGTGCCTTTGTAATATTGTGTGTGATGAAATGGGATGCATGCATAAAGCACTTCCACATACCAAAATACAATAGTTTCTCAAGGAGAAGTATTTGTGCGGTTGTTAGAGTTGCAAGCCGAACTAGTTCTTTCATGGAACATTAAATGAGTGACCAACAAACTATGATTATTTAGATTTGGGTATTTGGAAGATATTTTTCTTAAGATGAATTAGACTGTCACTTCAAGAAAAGCAACTTAAGGCTAGGAGCGGTGGCTATAATCCTACCTCTTTGGGAGACTGAGGTGGGCGGATCACCTGAGGTCAGGAGTTCGAGAGCAGCCTGGCCAACATGGTGAAACCTCATCTCTACTGAAAATACAAAAATTAGCCAGGCATGGTGACAGATGCCTGTAATCCCAGCTACTCGGGGGGCTGAGGCAGGAGAATCGCTTGAACCCAGGAGGCAGAGGTTGCAGTGAGCCTAGATTGCACCATTGCATTCCAGCCTGGGTGACAACAGCGAAACTCCATCTCAAAAAAAAAAAAAGAAAAACAACTTAAATATTTTTTCACCAGTGTTAAAAGATGAGATGTCAAAACAAAAATTAGAATTTTAGAAAGCTGCTATCAACCACTATGAGCTTGACAGCTTCCCAGTGCTTAGACTTTTCTGATAAGATTGGTGATAGCAAATGTGATTCTTTTCATGCTATATAATGAAATATGTGAACATTTGGAAGATCTGCCTAACTTAACCAGTATTTTCCACATGATCAGTGTATTATAACAACAAAATCATTCATAGGTAAAAGATACATTCAAAATGTAAAATAACACCATTTGGATTTTTAATGTGCCAGTAGGAAAAGTTTGTTGATGTGGTTTCAGATTCCACATTAAGAAACTGTGTTTTGAGCTTTGGTATAGTACCAAAGAATATTCATCATTATTTGAACAGGCGGCCAAGTGCAGTTGCTCACACCTATAATCCTATCACTTTGGGAGGCCACGGTGGACGGATCACTTGAGGTCAGGAATTCAAGACCAGCCTGGCCAACATGGTGAAACCCCGTCTCTACTAAAAATACAAAAATTAGCCAGGCGTGGTGGCAGGCACCTGTAATCTCAGCTACTTAGAGGCTGAGGCAGAGAGAATTGCTTGAACCCGGGAGGCAGAAGTTGCATTGAGCCGAGATCACACCACTGCTCTTCAGCCTGGGCGACAGAGTGAGACTCCCAAAAAAAAAAAAAAACTATTAAAATACTCCTTCCTTTTACATCTGCGTATCTGTGTGAGGCCAAATTTCCTTTCATATACTTTAATCAAAACATCATATCACAGCAGATTGAATGCAGAAGCAGCTATGAAAATCTTAGCTGTCTTCTATATTAAGCTAAACATCAAAGAAATTTGCAAAAAGATAGGTGGTAAATTCATGTGAGAGAGAGACTTCTAGTGGTGGAAATGCATGTTAAGACTCCTGTCTCCATTAAAAAATACAAAACAGTTAGCCGGGCATGGTGGCGGCCGCCTATAGTCCCAGCTACTTCAGAGGCTGAGGCAGGAGAATGGCATGAACCTAGGAGGTGGAGCTTGCAGTGAGCTGAGATGGCGCCGCTGTACCCCAGCCTGGGTGACAGAGTGAGACTTCGTCTCAAAATAAAATAAAATAAAATAAAAAAGACTCACTTTCTAACTTTGAAGAACAAATGATTGATTGGAAAAATGGTTGAGATAGTGACCACAAGAGGAATTTGGGTTTTTGTTAAGATCTGGAGTTATTAAGGTACATCAGTTCATTAAAAAATACATTTAAAGCAAAAACATTTTATAGTAAAACCTGATGCCCAACAGTGGTTGTTGGCTATATGTTAAAACACCTTTAAATTAGTTATTAATTTTTTTTAACTTAAAACTAATCAGTTATTAGCTCATGAATCTGCAGATTGGGCAGGGCTCAGCAGGCTCAGCTTCTTCACTCACATGCCTGTTGCTTCAGCTGGGATACTAGAACACTTGGGGGGCTGTTGGCATCTCTTCATCCTAGCATGAAGACTTTTAAAATCTCGGTCATCCCCATAAATGTTGATAAATATCTGGCTGAGAGAGACAACTATGTGGTAATTTTATAAATTATTCTATAAACATTTGAGTTCTTTGAAACATCTAAGATGAACCAAAACAAAAAGCATAAAAAGTATATATCATAAGCAGGCAGAATGCTGTGTCTAGTAGTAAAAATTAAACATCCAGCTTTCTGGGATCTATTGAAGGCTTTATTAATCTTCTTTAACTGGAAATTTACAAACGCTGCTGTGGAATGCCTCCCAACATACACTCTGCAGACTCTTAATAAAAACAAATTTGTGGAAGCTGACAAAAACTCTCCTATGGTGAGGGTAATATATAACACTCTCACTGTACTAATTTTCCTAGGACTTGGTCTTTACATCAATGTCCAGTGGAAATTCCAGTTTTTTTGGATACTTAATTAAATAATTAAGGGTAATAAATGTTCAAGTGATTCTCCTGCCTCAGCCTCCCGAGTAGCTGGGATTACAGGCGTGTGCCATCACACCCGGCTGATTTTTTGTATTTTTAGTAGAAATGGGTTTCACTGTGTTAGCCAGGATGATCTGAATCTCCTGACCTCGTGATCCGCCCGCCTCGGCCTCCCAAAGTGCTGGGATTACAGGCATGAGCCACCACGCCCGGCTGGATAATAGTTTCTTAATTAAGAAATGAAAAACATACCTAATAAAAAAAAAAATGTTGTGAAGTTTCAGAGTGGCAGAATCACACCACCCCGAAGAGCCCCTTCACCAGATGGCTTCTCACCATATAGCCCTGAGGAAACAAATCGCCGTGTTAACAAAGTGATGCGGGCCAGACTGTACTTACTGCAGCAGATAGGGCCCAACTCTTTCCTGATTGGAGGAGACAGCCCAGACAATAAATACCGGGTGTTTATTGGGCCTCAGGTAGGATTTGTCACCATTTTATTTTATTAGTAGTAGTATATGGTACTACCTCGAATTTATATACCATAATGTTCTTAAATTTGGATCACTTAATTCCCTTTAGTAGAGAAAAGTAAACTTAAAATGTATTTTAGGCTAATATTTTTCTTTAATGTATTTATGAGGTTTTTACTATCATAATATACCATAGAATAGAAATTTGATCTATTTAATAAATTCAATGGAAATGAGAGATTAAATCATGGAAATAGTTGTAGATTTTTCTTATATACAAAGATAATGAAGAGTATGAATTAATAGAAACTTTAGTATAAAAAGTTGGAAATATTGTAAAGTGATGAATTTAGAAGTTCTAATGAACCACGGATGTATTAACCTATAGGTTTTCTTTTTAACTCTTCAGAACTGTAGCTGTGGACGTGGAACATTCTGTATTCATCTGCTGTTTGTAATGCTCCGGGTGTTTCAACTAGAACCTTCAGACCCAATGTTGTGGAGAAAAACTTTAAAGAATTTTGAGGTAGTTTTTAATAAATGCTTAGAGTAAAATTGTCAGCATATTCTTATGATATATTCTTAAAATTTCTCCTTCTTTAAGTTTAGGCAGTGACCTTTTGAAAGGTGTGAAGGTATGTAAGAATTAGTTGATGCTTATAAATAGTTCTCATGAGATATTTACTAAACTTTTTCTTCTAGCTTGAAAAAAACAACACTGACCTGCCGTATGAATGTTGTCCTTAGTAAACTATAATGTGTTTTTATTTTTGAAGCTCTTAAATCAACTTTAGGAAAAACATGCAAATAAAAGATAAATAGCTCAGTCTCTAGAACTCTTCATATGTATAATTATGGCACAAATATCACTGTTACTGTCTTTTTCCAATGTTAGGTTGAGAGTTTGTTCCAGAAATATCACAGTAGGCGTAGCTCAAGGATCAAAGCTCCATCTCGTAACACCATCCAGAAGTTTGTTTCACGCATGTCAAATTCTCATACATTGTCATCATCTAGTACTTCTACATCTAGTTCAGAAAACAGGTTAGTACTTTTTAAGGATTTCAAAGCATTAATCCAGTGTTACTTTTAATTTTAGGGGTAATTTTTTATATCTACTTGTTAAGTTGCTCTAAAATGATTTAATTATTGAATCTTGGCTTTCAAGTTAAAATCAAGGGTGAAGATATTAAAGGTTCTCTGGGCATGGTGGCTTGTGCCTATAATCCCAGCATGTTGGGAGACTGAGGCAGAAGGATCGCTTGAGCCCAGGAGTTCAAGACCAGCCTGGGCAACATAGGGACACCCTGTCTCTACAGAAGTAAAATAATTGGCTGGGAGTGGTGATGCCTGTAGTCCCAATTACAGTCTGGGCAACATAGGGATACCCTGTCTCTACAGAAGTAAAATAATTAGCTGGGAGTGGTGATAACCTGTAGTCCCAATTATTCAAGAGGCCAAGGCAGGAGGATCGCTTGAACCCAGGAGTTCAAGGCTCCGGTGACCTATGATTGCACTACTGCACTCCAGCCTAGGTGACAGAACAAGACCCTGTTTCTTAAAAAATATGTGGGTGTGTGTATGTGTGTATATATATATATGTTGTTAAAGGTCATGTGAGTGTGTGTGTATATAGACATTTTGTGCTAAAAACTGCAGTATTCATGTGAATCTTGTTTCTGTTCTGTATATCGCTTTATTGGTTTTAGTGTAAAAATTAGATTTTTAAAAATTACTCCACAAAGGAAGTGCTGCTTCTCTTACCAGGGCACCTTCTATGTTATTCCCGAAGTGCCCAGTTTGAGAAGCACTGTTCTGAGTGGTTAAATCCTGTCTTTATCCTATCAATCTGTTAAGTATTGTAACTACCTCAAAATTAATGAAGAATGAAAAAGTGACAGGGTCGCAACAAGAGTGCAGTGAAGAGAAGAGAGGTTTTCTTTATCTGTGGAAAAAGTAAATGTTTGGATTTTCTTAATTTTGATTAAATGAAATAATTTTAGAATCCTAGAATTTTAGGAGTTTTTGGACATTGAAGATTTTCTAGTTGGCATGGTTCAGTGACAGCGGTAAGTGAAGCCAGGAGGTTATGCAGTTCATTTGAGGAAAGGTATAACCAGAACCTGGGTATCTTTGTTTCACCCCTCATCTCTTCTAAATAAAATGAAAAAAATTAGCTGTATTTCTCCAGCCTGCTGAACTCCTAGCCCCAAGCATTCCTCCCACCTCAGCGTCCCAAAGTGCTGGGATGACAGGTGTGAGCCACCACACCCAGCTCCTTTTTCCTTTTGAGTGACATTTCTGTAACTTTTTATTGTGGGGAAAAATAACAGATGCTTAAAACCAAGTAGCCAAAGTTAAAATAGAAAGTTTCTCTCTGAGGTTAAAAAAAAAAATTATTTGGATTCACATATCCGTAGGGGGGAGCCACAAAAGTTATCTTGATTACTGAGATTGTACTATGTAGATGGGTAGATTTTTGTTTCGTGTAACCACTATTTTTGTATCTAAAATCAATAAAAAGAAAATACAGAGGAAGCGTATCTGGAGATCTGATTACATACAATTTTAAATGGTATGCCACAAACAATAATAAAACAATTAGGATAAACAAATTTAAAATTCAATTGAAAATGAAGGGCATAAAGAGAATATGCACCAAAAAAGAATTCTAAGGGGCTAAGAAACACAAAAACTGTTCATTCAACCTGATAACTAAAGAAATGTTCATTTTTTAAAAAAAGATACCAGTTTTTACTGAAATAATGGAAGACTTTTTAAATGATGTCATTTAGTTATTGTAAGGATGTGCTTGATTGTATATAAAGCAGTATAGCCTTTGAAGAAAAAAAGTAATATGGCTTTTAAAAACATTTATATTCATTGATCCAGTAAATGTTCTTCTTAAGTAAAAGTTTAATCTGAGAAATGCACAAGCCTTACATATATCATATATGACTGTTTCTCTTAGTATTATGGTGAAAAATTAGAAACAATTTAAATATCCAGTAGCAATGGAATGATTAAATTAGTGTATGCCCATGTTACGAATGTCATGTAGGCATTAAAATTATGCTTTTGGAGAACATTGAATGACCTGGGAAAATGTCAATAAGTAAAACCAAATCTAGATTATAATAATATATTATGCATGAACCCAGTTTTATATAGGAAAGGTATTACAGGTATGTAAAAATCGGAAGAATAAGAACTTCACTGGTTATTTATAGGAGGGGTTATTGTAGGTAACTTTTTTTAAACTTTAAATATTTTTTTAATAGTATTTTAAATTTAAATATTTTTTAAGTATTAGTTTAAAAACTACTCAGCTCTGCCCTTATAGCCTGAAAATAGCCGAAGACGATATATAAATAAATGGGGATGGCTATGTTCAGTAAAACTGTATTTACACAAGTAGTCCACAGGCTAATTTGTTTTCCTTATAAGTTTGTTACTCCCTGCTCTATACTCATGTAATTTTGCTTCAGAAAAAACTATGCTAAAAAAAATCTGAAATGTCAAAAAAAAATGTGTACAAAGATGTTTGTAATGGTTTCTTAAAATGTAAAAATATGGAAACAGCTTATATGTCCAACATTAATGGATACTTAAAACAGGATCTTTCTAGTCAGTGGAAAATTATGGCGGCATTAAAAATTATGTGGTGGAAGCAACCCAAGTGTCCATCAATGGATGAATGGATAATGTGGGATATACACATAGTGGAATATTACTCAGCTTTACAAAGGAAGGAAGTATGCTACAACATGGATGAACCTTTAGGACATTATGCTAAGCAAAATAAGCCAGTCACAAAAAGACAAATACTGTATAATTTCACTTACATGAGATACTTAGTCAAAACCATAGAGACAGAAAGTAGAGTGACCCTAGGTGGGAGGATTACTTGATCCCAGGAGTTCCTGACTAGCCTGGGCAACATAGTGTGACCCTGTCTCTACCAAAAAAAAAAAGGGAGAAAAGAAAAGAAAAATTAGACAGGCATGGGTGGCATGCACCTGTGGTCCCAGCTACTCAGGAGGCTGAGGCAGGGGGATCTCTTGAGCCCAGGAGTTCGAGACTGCAGCGAGCTATACTTGTGCTGCTGTACTACAGTCTGGGAGACAGAGCAAGATCCTGTCTCAGAAAAAACATAGAATGGTGATTGCCAGAGGCTGGAGGAAGGAGATCGTGAAGAATCGTGTTTAATGGGTATAGGGTTTCAGTTTTACAAGATGAATACTGGAGACACATAGTGGTGATGGTTGCACAGCATGAAGGCATTTAATACCACTGACCTGTACACTTACAAATGGTTAAGATGGTAGATTTTATGTTATGCATATGTTGCCACAACAAAAAAAAAAAGAAAGAGTTATGTATATGAAGAGTTGAAGTGCAATTTTATAATAAAAATTTTTTAAATATGAAATAGTGCATATATATATATACATAAATGATCTGAACAATGCTTACAAAATATGTACTTGGAAAAAAGATGGACAGGAAATACCCCAGAATGGTATTCTTTTTGTTGTCAGAGAAGTATTTAGTAAGTTGCACTTGTGATTTGACTAAATTGTGAAACTTTATTTTCCTCTTATGAATAAGCTTAATTTTGGTGTAATTATATGAAGAGTTAGTTGACCTTGGATTATTTTTGCCATGAATATTTTTATTATAGATAGTTGTATACATCATTCCTGTAATGCTACTGTTAATTCTTCATTACTAATGCATGCATATTCTGACAGTTTTTCCGCATCCTAAGTAGCTCTACAATTAGGAAAAGAGAGGGGGCAGGTACATCAGGAGGGAGAGACTAGTAAGTGTGCCTTCATCTCAGGAATCACCCATGATGACTTTGCTGACTTGTTTGATTAGCTTTTTTGGAAAGCTTTTTGTGCATTTGGGGAACTGGTTATTTTGCTGCTAGTTACTCAGATCTGTTTTTTCAGGGAAAAGTAATTGCCGTTTTTGCCATTACTTCTAATGGCAAAATTAGGATTCAAAAAATTAGAAGTAATGGCCAAAACCGCAATTACTTTTGCACCAACCTAATAGTTGAAGATAGTAGAAGTGCAATATTGGGCCTAGTTTAGCAGACTCTAAAATTTAGACATTGTAAGTTTATGGCATGTTCTTCTCAGATAAAAGTGTAATGATAGATCTGCCACAAACTGATTTTGATTTGAGGCAACTTATTTAACATCCCAGAGCCTTGTCTTTATTTTATAATGGAAATACGGCTGTTGATTTTTAAAAGTCATCCCTCACATCATGAAGATTTAATTAAAAACATTTATGAAATAGAGAACTAAAGTCCTCTTTCTCTAGCCTGGGTGCACACAAAATAACTACTGTTAACTATTTAATACAACTTTTAAAAATTACATAAATCAAGGAGTGAAACTCTTCTTTGCACACTCCGTACTTCGGCCAACAAACAGATGCACGCACGTTCCCCCATCCATATTTCTCTCAGCTGTCTTACTGTTTTTAAACAAAGTCATGCCATATGTTCTGGTGTGCAATTTTCGTTTGCTTTTACTTTATATATAAAGAATATTTTTCCACGTCATTACCAGATTACATACTTTTTTCTTTTCATGGCTGTATAAGGTTCTGTTGGTACACCATAATTTATTTAGCCATTGCCTTAATTAATGTACATTAAGTACACCTCCAGTTGTTTGTTTACATACTTAAAATGTGTAGGGATAGCATCCTAGGAAATAGGATTTTTAGGTCATGAATATATACATGTAGTATTTTAAGAAATACTAACAAAATTTCCTTCCATAGATTTTAGTTTTTACTTCTACCAGATATGAGAACCTGGTTTTCTATGCCATTATGAGGGCCAGATGTTACCAATCTATTATTATTTATTCCAATTGCCTTTTTATTTCCTTTGTCCATTTTACTATTAGTATTTTTCTTACTGATTTTTAAAAATACTTTGTATATTAGAGATAATCAAGTATATGCAATATAATTACCCATTATGCTGCAATTTTGCCATAAATGGAATCATTCTATACATGGTAGTTTTATTTTGACCTCATTTATGGATCTCTCTCTTCCTTTTTAAAGGCTTCAAGGTGCCTGGGTTTGCCGTAATTTGTTTAACCTCCTTTTGGCATTCATTTGGTTGTTTTGATTTCTTTTCGTTATTCTAAATAATACTGCAGTGGACATTTTCATACATACATCTCTATATATTTGTCTTTTTATTTTCTTACGATACATTCCTAGAAGTCTAGGTGACAGATTGTGTACCCTTAAAATGTGACGTGTTCCTAGATTCATTTCTAGGAAAGTTGGACCAGTTCATACTGCCACCAGAAATTTCTGAAATAGGCATTTAAATTTAGGATGTGGAATCTTTGAGCTCTAAGGTCCGCCAGCACTTAAAATCTTGAAACTAGTACCATGTAGTATATTTTTGTGCGTACTCAAACCTGTTGGTTTATTCAAAAGATACAGTAGCAGAATTTGGGAGATACAAATGTTCTTTCTAAGATTACAGTCTGTATTGTTTTCATCACAAAGAAAGTTAACTCACACCTACAGTCTATAAGTACTCGTGTGTTAATCTGATTTTAAATTACTGTATATTAATAGCATAAATATGTATCTCTTAGTATATAAGATGCTCTTAAACAAGAATTTCTACTGTATTTATATTCTAAGCAAGCAGAAAGTGTTTTTAGCATATCAGTTCTGCTTTATATTCTTTTATGTTTAATACTTTTTCTTCCCCTTTTCTATAGTATAAAGGATGAAGAGGAGCAGATGTGTCCTATTTGCTTATTGGGCATGCTTGATGAAGAAAGTCTTACAGTGTGTGAAGACGGCTGCAGGAACAAGCTGCACCACCATTGCATGTCAATTTGTATGTGGCTCTTTTTCTCTCTATGCTTATTCAGCACAGTTGCTCTCTGAGCTAACTATGTTATTTAAGAGTGTAACATGGCTCGAAGGGAGATTGGTGAGAGAATAAAAACAGTATATCTAAGTCCTCTGTGAAGAGTTTTCAGCAAGTGGGAATGTAGGATCTTTAGGAGATGACCTATGTGAGCAAAGAAACGCAATAAAGTGTGACATAGGTGATAATGGAAGAAGTGCATAGAATTAGAAACAGTTTCAATCTGGAAGGTATACATGAAGGGAAGGAGGTGGAAGAAGACCTGGGTAGGCATTACAGAAAGGCTAGCATCAAAGTAAGGTTTGGAAGGACTTTACCTGGTAGTCAAACAGGGCAGAACGTTTGGAAAAATAGTAATATTAACATTGGAAAAATAGTAATATTAACTATTAATGTTAATAGTAACATTATCAGAATGAATAAAATAGCATTTGCAAATCAAAATCATTTAACCTGCTGTGTGTACTTGCTTTCAGATAAATGTTTAGATTATTTTTGAGGTTCCTTCTATATAAATCCTGTAAACTAATTATTATAAACAGTTATGAAATATAAATAATGTTAAGCATTTACATTTTTGTAAGATTTTGTTTCTGTAATTTTTCAGGGGCAGAAGAGTGTAGAAGAAATAGAGAACCTTTAATATGTCCCCTTTGTAGATCTAAGTGGAGGTCTCATGATTTCTACAGGTAATAATTTTGAAATAATGATACGTATATGTTTAATTTTTTTTAATTTCTCAAAGTGTGGTTTAAATCTCTTAATTTTTTTAAAGCAAGTTTTGTTATTTTTCATTTTAGCCACGAATTGTCAAGTCCTGTGGATTCCCCTTCTTCCCTCAGAGCTGCACAGCAGCAAACCGTACAGCAGCAGCCTTTGGCTGGATCACAAAGAAGGAATCAAGAGAGCAATTTTAACCTTACTCATTATGGAACTCAGCAAATCCCTCCTGCTTACAAAGATTTAGCTGAGCCATGGATTCAGGTAAGTAGTTCTTTGTTTTTCATTTCTCAAAGAAATATTTATAGATCAGTTAATGTATTTGTCTCCTTCCCTCAGTTGTTTATAATTTAAAAAATACTTTTGTTTGCCTTCATCATGACCTTTATTCCTTTGGAAATTTTAATGTTACTTTTGGTATTAATACTATACTGCTTGTTATACAGCTTCAACTTCAAAACTTCCTTGTGGTTTCACTTCACGTATCTAGAAACATCTTTTCCTGAACTAACAGATATACAGGGTTATTCAAGGATAGAAGGATAGAAACCAGAACCCTTCAGTGCTAACTTTTCCCAATGTTTAATCCCCATTCCTGCCAAGAATTTTTATCATGTTTCTTATTTGCTGCCATTTAAAATTAATTTCTCCTTTCATATCCTAATGGCATACAATGGGTGCTTAATAATTGCAGAGCAGATGAATAAGAAAAAATATGTGATAAGTTACCTTGAGTTCATCATTTTGATTTGTAAGAACAGTTTTCCATCCCTTTACCATCTCTTCTGATTGAATGCTTTTTCATCCTCAGTAAGTAGGGCTTTTTTGTCAGTTGGTTTGTAATGATTTTCTTGGTTGTTGAATGCTTAGTCTATTATTTTTTAAATGTAGGATCTAAAACCAGTCAGGTCTGTACCAGACAATAATGAAGTAAAATAGTTATTTTCAGTAATCTGTTAAATTCTGTTGAATTAAATTTGTGAACAGGTGTATTAACACATTGAGCTTATATATCATTAGGATTTGTTTCATTTTTCTTTTGTGACCATTACAGTCCTGCACCTTTGGAATTCTCTTAGCATATTAGCAACCCATTTATGAATCTAATAAAATCTGCAAAAATATTAAACACATATTCTTGTATCTAGTCCATTAATGAAATTTAATGAAATATTAATGAACATAGGTCCTCACCTGCCCTTTCATGACCCATCAAAGAACTCTCAAGTTGATTCTGAGCTGTTAGATTTCATTCTTTCAAGGATATGGTCTAGTTTGTTTTGCCTAAGCTTTAGGTCAGACTAGGCTCTATATTCCTAGCTTTTTATTAAGCATATTAGGTAAGACAATTAAAACATAGGTAGTGGTACACTACTTAACAGTACCAGAAGCTCACTATATTCTAGTTGGTTCATTCTCCCATAATATCCTTTTATAACAAAACACATGTAAATAAATATGTCATGATCCATTTTTCCAAAAATTGTGTTTATTCATCTTTAATATTTAGACATTTTTCACATGATGAATTATCTTAGGTATTAAGCTTGGTTTTAGCTAATTGGCCCATAAAGCGTGAAGGGAAAGACCCTTCACGCTTTCCTCACTGTAGGAACTCTGGCTTCTGGGGCATGGGATTGACGACGGTAACGGCATGTACTATAACTCTGTGTCTACCGTTTTCCTTTGCTTACTCGAACACAAGCATTTTTTCTTCAGTTTGATTTGTCCACTCCGTTCGTTTTACAGTCCTACCTGTTTTGTCTAGTTTTTTAAACCTTTTTGTACAGACAAAAACTAATTAAATGTGTTTTACTTACTGCTCTTGTCTGTAAGAGAAATACTCTGTATCTCTTGAAACCTTCTCCTGGTGCCTTTTTTGATCTTTTTTTTTTTCTTTTCTTAATCTTGCTCCAGTTTTTCTCTTTAAACTACCTTAGTATGAATACAGAGTTGAGGTTTTCCCTTTTTTTTGGCGTTTTGGTAAGCATGGGGGACAATAGAGGCATAGAATGTATGTATAGCCATCTAATGATTTAATGGAGTTTATTATTAATTTTACCTGAACTAATAAATATTAATGACTTTGGATCATTACCAGTTAAACCTGAGTATAAAATTCTTCCTTATGATGTTTAAGTGGCTGGATATATTTGAAGTTGTGAAGGATGATGAAGATTTAAGAAATGCCCAGTTTTTATGTAGTAATCAAAAATGATGCTAAACTCAAAATACTCTGGGTCCATAAGCTTTTCTTTACATTGAATTCATTGTGTGTGTTTGATCCAGGTATTTGGAATGGAACTCGTTGGCTGCTTATTTTCTAGAAACTGGAATGTGAGAGAGATGGCCCTCAGGCGTCTTTCCCATGATGTCAGTGGGGCCCTGCTGTTGGCAAATGGGGAGAGCACTGGAAATTCCGGGGGCAGCAGTGGAAGCAGCCCGAGTGGGGGAGCTGCCAGTGGGTCTTCCCAGACGAGTATCTCAGGAGATGTGGTGGAGGCATGCTGCAACGTTCTGTCAATGGTCTGTGCTGACCCTGTCTACAAAGTGTACGTTGCTGCTTTAGTAAGTAGCTTTATTCCATAATCATATCATTATGGGTTTGGGGTTTTTTGATGGTTCGTAGTATTTTTAAGATACAATAAAGCTACTTTACCTAATTTTGGAAAATCCAAATTTTATTTTTGTTCCATAATTTCAGGAAATTACAATTTTTCTTTTATTCTGTTTATTTGAATTTTACTGGTTTTATGATGTATGTCCAAGGTTTCTTATATGCTATTTCACTGTTTAGTTTCATTGTTTTAAAGACTTTCCAGGGGTATCCAAGGGAGAGAATACAGTTATGGTTTCTTAGTTTCTGTTTCTGGTTGGGACAGTAAAGCTCCTTCGTCATCCTCCTTTTCCGCTTATCCCTAGAGACAGACTAAACACCATGGCTTCAGGCTGCTAAAGCCTAAAACAAATCAAAACAGAACAACAACAAATAGGACGAGCTAGACAAGCTTGCTAATTTTTAAAGACTTTTTTAGTGTCTTGCTGTTCATATCTTTATGTTTTTCTGAGCAGATATCTTATACATGACCAAATTAAAAATGCTTTTTGGGATGGCAAAGTCATCAATGTTACTCTGATTTTTAAAAAAATTTATCAGATATTAAGGAAGATATGTTTTTAATAAACATTTTGATTTTTAATAAACACTGTCATGTGGAGATTCAAAAGCCTTTTCAAAGAAAAGGGTTCCATGACATAGATCGTTGAATTGCTTTTTCAGTTTAACTTGTTAAAAGTTCTTTCATGAGTGGAATAGAGTGACAAGGAGGTAATTTAGGAGTATCTGTCTCTTTAGAATAGGGTTTCTCAACCTCAGTACTATTAACATTTGTTAGATAATTATTTGTTGCAGGGTAGGGGGAAAGCCAGGAATGTTGTCCTGTGTGTACTGTGGCAACATCCCTGTCCTCTACCCATTAGATACCAGGAGCAAACCCACCCCCACCCAGTCATGCCCACAGTCATGACAACCAAGAATGTCTCCAGGCATTGCCAAATGTCTCCAGGGGTCAAAACTGCCCCCAATTCAGAACCACTACTTTAATTCTTATCTGGTCTGTTCTTAAAATTCATGAGTAGTCTGTAGGCTTCCCTGGAACCTCAGTCTTTTTCTAATCCATCCTCTAACGATTGGGCCTAATGAATCTTCTTGACAGGTAATACAGCATGACAGTTATGAACATGGGTTTGGAGTCACAATTGAGTGATCTCATAATTTATCATTCCAGCCACAGTGCTTGCATAATGTGCTGGTTAAAGTTGGACTAGCCTAGGCAATCTGAACACATGATCAAGATCATAGAGACAGACCTGGATTCAAATTCTGGTTCTCCCTTTTGCTAGCATGGTGACTTTACGAAGGTTACTTAACCTCTCTTAAATAAACTTCAGTTTTCTCACCCATAAAATAATGAAAATACCTCTTAGATTTGAAATTAGATTATGTAGAAACTTTCAACTGTATGCCTGGCACATTGTAAGAACATGAATAGTTATTATTATTTCTTAAACACAAGTTTGATTATCCCCCAACTCGTTTAGAAACCTTTAGAGGTTTCTGTTTCTTCAGCGACATTCCTAAAGCATATTCTGTGGAAGTTTGGCAGGGTTGTGAAAAGTTCCCTGAAGAAAGAATCTTGTATTCAGTTAAGATTGGTGAACACTGGATTACACAAGGATAACTAGGTCTGTTGACTGAAAGACTTCTAGGATCCTTCAGTAAGCTAGTGTACATTGTGAACCTAAAGGATCAAAGGGTAGAATGCATTGTTTCCCAGAGTTATTTTGCTACAGCCTGTTTCTTCACGTAGCATCTGGAGGGACCAGCATACTGTAGAATAAAGACCAATTGGCCCAACATTTTGCCGCTTTCTTACTATTTTCCAACACAAACCTTCAGGCATACTTGACTAAATAAAATCCTCTTTTTGCCAGTTCCTTTTCTGCAAAGCCTTTGTCGTGTTACTCTTTTTGTGCGCAGTGTAACTGCCTTACTGTCATGGTTGTTTCTTCTTAAGTTAAGACTGTTTCCCAACTAGCTTATGAGTTCTTAGAGCACAAAGATTGTATAAAGGATACCAGGCTCCATGAAGGCAGAAATGGCTTCTGCTCTTAAAGCTCACCCTTTCCCTTTCCCTTATGTCCCCTTCCTCTGTCTCTTCCTTTTTTTCTTCTCCCTCCCTCTCCATGTATAATTTTTTTTTTTGCTGAACCATTTGAGAGTTTTTTGCAGGCATCATGACACTTTCTCCTCAAATACTTAAATATGTGTCTCTTAAAACCAAATACATAATTCCATTTGTTCTTCCATATACAGTCAGCACATTAACAGTAATCATAATACTGTTTTGTACTATAAAGTTTATACTGAAATCTCCCCTGTTGCCCAACAGTGCCCTTCATAGCTAAACTGCAGACTTTATTCAGATTTTACCAGCTTTTCTGCTGTTGTCTTTTTTCTGTCCCAGGATCCAATCCAGGATCCCGCAGTGCATTTAGTCACCATGTCCCCTTAATGTCTTCTCATCCATGACAGTTCCTCACCCTTTCCTAGTTTTTAATGACCTTGACAGATACTTTCAAAGTATACTGGCCAGTTATTTTGTAGAATGTCCCTCAATTTGGGTTTCTCTGATGTTTTCTCATGATTAGATGGAAGTTACATATTTTTCACAAGAATGCCACAGAGGTGATAGGCCTTTCTCATTGCATCTTGTCAGTGGGTACATATGTCCATGGCTTTTATTATTGGTGATGCTGTCAGTTAAGGTAATATCTACCAAGTTTCCCTGCTGTAAAATTAATATTCATAGATATCTTGTGAGAGTTACTTTGCGATTATGCAAATATCCTATTTCACCTCAAAATTTTGTCCACTGATTTTAAAAACATTTGTGGATCTTGCCTATAGCAGTTATTACTACACCATTAAAAATGGTGCTTTCATGGGCACAGGGAGGGGAGCATCACACACCAGGACCTGTCGGGGGTCAGGGGCTAGGGGTGGGATAGCATTACAAGAAATACCTAATGTAGATGATGGGACGATAGATGCAGCAAACTACCATGGCATGTGTATACCTATATAACAAACCTGCACGTTCTGCACATGTGCCCCAGAACTTAAAGTATAATTTTTTTTAAAAATGGTGTTCTAATGGTGATTTTCTGTTTTCCTCATTCCTTCTACATTAATTGAAATTATTCTATAAAGTAGAGCTTCTCCGATTATGTACCTAATCAATTTTTAATTTATATCAGTGTAGGCTCCTGGATATTCCTTTTGTTCTATGGGTTGCAACCCAGTACTACCATCATTTGTTTTGTTGCTCTGATTATTCCAGCGTTGACCATTGAGAGCCTTTTCAGGTTGGCTCCTGTTCTTTTTCTTTTTAAAAATAATTTTTTTTAACTTTACGTCTTGAAATGAATTCAGACTTCTAAAAATTGCAGAGAAAAGAGTTCAGAAAATTCCTTTCTACCCCATTCATTTGTTTTGTTAGTTGTTTGTATCATTACAGACGCATGGGATTCTTACTTTATTCTATGGGTTATAATCTATTCCTATCTTATTTTGTTGCTCCTGTTGTCTCAAATTAGGCCATTATCTCTGATGCTTTTTAAGTGTACATAAACTGACCTTCAGATTTTTTTCCTCAGAAAACACTGAGAGCCATGCTGGTATATACTCCTTGCCACAGTTTAGCGGAAAGAATCAAACTTCAGAGACTTCTCCGGCCAGTTGTAGACACCATCCTAGTCAAATGTGCAGATGCCAATAGGTAAGGCTTCATTGATGAACCACTTCAAACCCTCTTGTCTTAAAAGTGCCTCGCAGCAAGCCTCACACCTAGTGAATATCTGATACATTTTATTAAATGAGTCTTTGAACATTGTCTTTTAATGTGAGATTTAAAATGGAAATGCAGTACTTGAAGCTCTTAAGGACTGGGGGAAAGAACTACTGGCAAGTAAAAGCCAGTCAAACAAACTGCATGGATCTCCACATTATTGTATTGTGATTTATTCTCTTAAATAACATTCATAATCTGAAGTACAGTTGGTAAGAACTGTAGTTGACATTTATATCCATAAGGTATAATCTCATGGGTTACACAGGATAGGAACCAGTAAGATCATTACACCTGTATATGCCTTATTATCAGGATAAAAAATTAACAAATCCATCTCATTATTTTCAGTGTAATGGAATTTTACTCTAATTATGACAGTTTTAGTCAAAAAAACTTTAGATTTTATATATTCCTGCAATATCCTTGAAAATTGACAGGGAACAAGAATAACCCTGACTGCAAAGAAAAATATGAAGTAGAGAATTGAGGTGCGGTGACAGTAAATATGAGTACAAGCCATGCTTTTTTCAGACCAGTGGTTCTCTTTTATTTTCCCCTTCCATAAAATAGGAGGAAAAATTTTCATTTAATAATCACAGCTACTGTGAACAGTTATTTGGTAGTTCCTATTTCTTTCTATCCCAGCAGATCTTGGTTAGCAACAAGTGTTGAATCTCCCTTGTGTTGCCTCTTCCATTTCAGCCATTTAGAGCTCTCTCAGTACCACTTTTCTCTTCCTCTGCAAGTCATAATGACTGTTTGCACAGGGTCTCAAAAATTAGGTACCTACCTTTAACGAATTTCTCATCTCATGAAGTCTGTCTTTTGCCTCTGTTGTTTTCTCTGTAGATTGAAAATACTGGATGTTTTCTTGTTTCTTAGAGAAAATATTGTATATCTGTAAAATATGCAAATTAAAAAGTAATTTGCAAAATGCATAGGAAAAGTGTCATTTTTTAGTATTAGAATAGGTATATTTCTGAGACTTCAGTGTTCTCATGGTATTTGTTGTGCTGCTCGCTTTTTGAAACTTTAAAGTTAGGTTGTTTACCTGGTCACCTGAATGACTGAACATAAGAAATACTGTAGAGAGATTTTATAATATTCAGACCTCATTCTGCCTATGTAAGGAAATGGAGGGTTTTTGGATGGGAAGGTTTTGTTTTTAATTCAAGAGCTTCTTAGTAAAAGTTCAGAAATCAAAATGTCAAGGTCTTTGTTTTTTCTTTTAACAAAATGTAAGACTTTTATCTAATTTGGTATTTAAATCAATACTTGCTAAGAGCCATTATTGAAGATTCTGTGCTTAACATAGAGGATATGTTAAATTTACAAAATTAGACCTAATAAATGAGTATTACTATTTATGGTGACATTGTTCATGTGATTTTAGTGGTGGAAAAGTAAACACTCCTGAAAACATCATTTCTCCACTTTTTCACAAGGCCTTGCATTACGCCTCTAATATTGTATAGTATTTTAGCCAAGATCCAGGATTGATGTTGCTTTTCCTTTGCTTTTTAGCCGCACAAGTCAGCTGTCCATATCAACACTGTTGGAACTGTGCAAAGGCCAAGCAGGAGAGTTGGCAGTTGGCAGAGAAATACTTAAAGCTGGTAATAACTTTTCACTTAAAATGAATATAGCATATTTTATCATGTTCCTCGGCAGCCTTGTCTAATCTCATAATCTCTCATAAGGCAGTTTACAGGATTTTGAAGTAATTTTATAAATTGATTCACTGTGTTACAGTTAGAAATGTGAATTAATCTGAGAGAGAAATTCTTGAAAATAGTTCAGAATATTTTTGTTGGCCTTATACCATTTAGTCATGTCTTATTTTAGATTTTAATATCACTATTTTTTAATCACTTATTTTTACTTTCCTTTTTGTAGGATCCATTGGTATTGGTGGTGTTGATTATGTCTTAAACTGTATTCTTGGAAACCAAACTGAATCAAACAATTGGCAAGAACTTCTTGGCCGCCTTTGTCTTATAGATAGACTGTTGTTGGAATTTCCTGCTGAATTTTATCCTCATATTGTCAGTACTGATGTTTCACAAGCTGAGCCTGTTGAAATCAGGTGATTTTTCTTCTGAAAATATATTACATGTATCTTTCTGCCCTCCCTACACCCTCCTCAAGAATGACACATTTTAGATTTATGAAAGACTCAGAAAATACAGAGCATAAATAGGTTGCTGATACCTTAATATTTGATTGACATATGAAAACCCAAAGTCTAGGATGTTTAATTTAAAATTTATAGATACTTTATGCTGAAATGGTTTTTGAAGTATACATGCTGTAAATTACTACCATTTTTTAAGTTTCCATGTGTTTTTCGGTAATTGGAACTTATTATTGTAATGAATGTTTTTTCTTTCAGGTATAAGAAGCTGCTGTCCCTCTTAACCTTTGCTTTGCAGTCCATTGATAATTCCCACTCAATGGTTGGCAAACTTTCCAGAAGGATCTACTTGAGTTCTGCAAGAATGGTTACTACAGTACCCCATGTGTTTTCAAAACTGTTAGAAATGCTGAGTGTTTCCAGTTCCACTCACTTCACCAGGATGCGTCGCCGTTTGATGGCTATTGCAGATGAGGTAGAAATTGCTGAAGCCATCCAGTTGGGCGTAGAAGACACTTTGGATGGTCAACAGGACAGCTTTTTGCAGGCATCTGTTCCCAGTGACTATCCGGAAACCACAGAGAAGAGTTCCCCTGAGTGCACAATCCATTTAGAGAAAACTGGAAAAGGATTATGTGCTACAAAATTGAGTGCCAGTTCAGAGGATATTTCTGAGAGACTGGCCAGCATTTCAGTAGGACCTTCTAGTTCAACAACAACAGAGCAACCAAAGCCAATGGTTCAAACAAAAGGCAGGCCCCATAGTCAGTGTTTGAACTCCTCTCCTTTATCTCATCATTCCCAATTAATGTTTCCAGCCTTGTCAAGCCCTTCTTCTTCGGCCCCATCTGTACCAGCTGGCACTGCAACAGATGTCTCTAAGCATAGACTTCAGGGATTCGTTCCCTGCAAAATACCTTCTGCATCTCCTCAAACACAGCGCAAGTTTTCTCTACAATTCCACAGAAACTGTCCTGAAAACAGAGACTCAGATAAACTTTCCCCAGTCTTTACTCAGTCAAGACCCTTGCCCTCCAGTAATATACACAGGCCAAAGCCATCTCGACCTACCCCAGGTAATACAAGTAAACAGGGAGAGCCCTCAAAAAATAGCATGACACTTGATCTGAACAGTAGTTCCAAATGTGATGACAACTTTGGCTGTAGCAGCAGTAGTAGTAATGCTGTTATACCCAGTGATGAGACAGTGTTCACCCCAGTAGAGGAGAAATGCAGATTAGATGTCAATACAGAGCTCAACTCCAGTATTGAGGACCTTCTTGAAGCATCTATGCCTTCAAGTGATACAACAGTCACTTTCAAGTCAGAAGTTGCTGTCCTCTCTCCTGAAAAGGCTGAAAATGATGATACCTACAAAGATGATGTGAATCATAATCAAAAGTGCAAAGAAAAGATGGAAGCTGAAGAAGAAGAAGCTTTAGCAATTGCCATGGCAATGTCAGCGTCTCAGGATGCCCTCCCCATAGTTCCTCAGCTGCAGGTTGAAAATGGAGAAGATATCATCATTATTCAACAGGATGTAAGTATAGATTCTTTAAGAGGTTAGAAAACTTCCTTGGGGCTAGGCAGTGACTCATACCTGTAATTCCAGCACTTTGGGAGGCTGAGGCCGAAGGATTGCTTGAGCACAGGAGTTTGAAACCAGCCTGGTCAACAAAGCAAGACCCTGTCTCTACAAAAAATTAGCCAGGCGTGATAGTGCACACCTGGGGTCCCAGCTACTCAGGAGGCTGTGGTGGGGAGGGTCACTTGAACCTGGAAGTTTGAGGCTGCAATGAGCTGTGATTACACCATTGCACTCTAGCCTGAATAACAGAGCAGGACACGGTCTCACAGAGAGCTTCCTTAGACCATACGAAAATAAACCTAATTCAGAAATGCTGCTTCTAACATTTAGAAGCAGATTTTTCCACATAAAATTATTACTTATACAACAATAATGTTTGTACTGTTTAAACAGCAATAATTCTTGTCTGTGGACATTTCTGGTTAATTCTATAATGGTGATCACTTTTGCATTTGATGTTAGTCACAAATACCTTCCATTCAGAGGTCACATTTATAGGTGGTTTGGGAAGCCAGACTGAACAAGAATAGTATCTTTCCGACTAATTTCACAAAATCTTACTCCTTTAACAGTAAAAAGATTGCTTTCATTTAATATGTAGACACCAGAGACTCTACCGGGACATACCAAAGCAAAACAACCGTATAGAGAAGACACTGAATGGCTGAAAGGTCAACAGATAGGCCTTGGAGCATTTTCTTCTTGTTATCAGGCTCAAGATGTGGGAACTGGAACTTTAATGGCTGTTAAACAGGTAAATATCTAGTGAGCATATAAATGAAATGATTCAAATCACAAAGTGAAGCATGTTCAGTAAAAAGAATAAAGGATATGTCCACATGTTTGTACTTTAGCTCTTTAAACTTTGAGAAACTTAGATTTCAAAGTAGGTGTTTCCAAAGCACCAGAAATATCATGAATTCTGTTATTATTAAAAGTTGAGGCCGCACGTGGTGGCTCATGCCTGTAATCCCAGCACTTTGGGAGGCTAAGGTGGTTGGATCATTTGAGGTCAGGAGTTCGAGACAAGCCTGGCCAGTGTGGTGAAACCCTGCCTCTACTAAAAATACAAAAATTGGCCAGGCGTGGTGGTAGGCACCTGTAGTCCCAGCTACTCAGGAGGCTGAGACAGAAGAATTGCTTGAACCCAGGAGGTAGAGGTTGCAGTGAGCCGAGATCGCACCATTGTACTTCAGCCTGAGCGACAGAGCAAGACTGTCTCAAAAAAAATAAAAGTTGAAGTATGATTATATCATAAGACTACAATATCAAGATGGGCCTTACAAAGGTTTTTTTGGTTTTGCTTTTTGTAGGTAGTAGAGGTGTGGTTTTCAGGTACTTTCAACAGTATACTGGTGCAGTGCCATCTTGGAGTTTCAGTGGTTTTACTTTTTATAATGAGTATACTTAGGATAGGAAAATTATTAAACTTTCATTTTTAAATCATGTTGATTATTTTCCCATATTTGGACTTTTCTCATTTTTACTCTGAGACTATTGGAATATTGACTATATCCGGATATTTTTGTCATTTCTGATGTTCACTGCTGCTTACGCTAGATTCTTAGTGTTTAAAAGAGTTTGACTTGGGTTTTTTTAAAGTACATTGCATCCATGAACATAAATGCCATCTGTTGTTAATATATATGCTGGTTTGCATTTGTTCGTTTTAGATCAGATTGCTAGAGAAAATATGCAAAACTCTGTGAACATGTTTATTTGAAACAGGTGACTTATGTCAGAAACACATCATCTGAGCAAGAAGAAGTAGTAGAAGCATTAAGAGAAGAGATAAGAATGATGAGCCATCTGAATCATCCAAACATCATTAGGATGTTGGGAGCCACGTGTGAGAAGAGCAATTACAATCTCTTCATTGAATGGATGGCAGGTATGTTAATGTTTTAAATTACAAATAGTAGTACATGGATTTAACTTTCTGTGATTAAATTTAGGAAAAACCGGTTTAATTAAAATTTATTTTTATCAAATAGTTTGGGTTTCTAAAACCAAATCACCCGAATATATTAGTATGAACCACAGATACTTCATTTTGTATTTTATTTAATATAAATGAAATATTGACTATCTCTACCTTTTAAACTTTTCCAGTGTGTTTTTCAATGATTGTGTAGCATTGTTGTTTTTAATACTTGATATGTATAAGATCTGTATATTTCCAGGTAGCCATGACAAACTGGACAGATGAGGAAGTGTTTTAACATAACAATATAAAAACAAAATTAACATATAACTTGAAAACTTACTACAAGTAAACTAGCACTGAAGCATAAAGTTGAACCTTGTCATCTGCTGAAATAAATGAAGACTGAGTTTTATTTTGTATTATACAATGTGTACAATAAAATTAATGACCTGATGTGATGAACGGGTTAAGTGTTTGGTTTAACTTCTTAGATTTGCGTGTGTATTTAAGAGTGCATTTCTATTTACCAATCAGTTCTTAAGTGCGTTATGTGTTGTTGGTCTTAATAAAGATTTACGCTACAGTAGATAGGTTGACTACTATAAACACTTTTAAAAGCAGCTAAACTTGAGACATGTTCCAGGGCAGAGCTAGTAAATGGTAGGATATGAAGCCTAACTCTGGGTCTTCTGTTCCTCCTCCCATTCATTTCACCTTTTACTAAATAATTGTTAACATTGTTTACTTTAGTCATTAATAAAGTTGTTTTGTGTTATTTTGAGAAGACAGAGAAGTGAATTGTACATTTCAGAAATAGTTTCATCCAAAATGGTTAACTTTTACAGCTTTCTGAAATCTTGACCCTCCAATAAACTGGTTCCCTGTGGGTTCCATGAAAGTGTCTCCTAATTAGTAGTTTTTGAGATGATATAGGAATATGTTAGTTTTGAAATGTTTTTCTTCTATTTCATATGTGAATGTGAGTTCATGCAGTGAAAACCTTAGAAATCAAAGTGTAATAAATACTTTTAATTCCATCTTTAAGTTTATGATAATTATTTCTATTGTCTTATAGGGGGATCTGTGGCTCATTTGCTGAGTAAATATGGAGCTTTCAAAGAATCAGTAGTTATTAACTACACTGAACAATTACTTCGTGGCCTTTCGTATCTCCATGAAAACCAAATCATTCACAGAGATGTCAAAGGTAGGAATTCTTTTAATTATTATCTAGTGACAATAAAAAAAATTAATGTAATTTTAAAATTCGGGGCTAGGCGCGGTGGCTCACACCTGTAATCCCAGTACTTTGGGAGGTGAAGGCAGGTGGATCACTTGAGGTCAGGAGTTCGAGACCAGCCTGGCCAACATGGTGAAACCCCATCTCTACTAAAAATACAAAAATTAACAGGGTGAGGTGGCGCATGCCTGGAATCCTGGCTATTTGGGAGACTGAGACAGGAGAGTCGCTTGAACCTAGAAGGCAGAGGTTGCAGTGAGCCAAAATCACACCACTGCACTCCAGCCTGGGTGACAGAGCGAGACTCTGTCTCAAAGAAGGAAAAAAAAAATGAACTTTTGTTGATGGTTTCTAACTATGGGATTTTTTTCTTCTGAGTAATTCAGAATATTAGAACCGAAATAAGTCTTAGGGGTCATTTAATCTGCCTTCCTCATTTAATAGAAAAATATATTGAATACAAGAGAGGCTGTGCCTTTTCTACAGTTTTACTGCTAGTTAATGGCAGAAAGTATACAATACATGTCTCCAGATTCCCTGTCTTGGCCTCATGATACACAGGCTCCCAGAAAGTTCCTTTACCTGGTTTTATTTAGAATAATGGGATATTGGGATATCATAAACTTCTTTTAAGAAAAATTCCTTCAAATCTTTTGTGGTTCCTGTTCTTTTTTTTTTTTTTTTTTTTTTTTTTGAGACAGGGTCTCTGTTGCTCAGGCTGGAGTGTAGTGTTGCAAACATGGCACACTGCAACCTTCGTTTCCTGGACTCAAGTGATCCTCCCACCTCAGCCTCCCAAGTAGCTGGGACAACAGGTGTGCGCCACCATGCCTGGCTAATTTTTTATATTTTTTGTAGGGATGGAGTTTTGCCATGTTGCCCCCAGGCTGGTCTTGAACTCCTGGGCTCAAGCGATGCGCTTGCATCAGCCTCCCACAGTGCTGAGATTACAGGCATGAGCCACCGTGCCTGGCCTCAGTTTATTTTTCTCAAGAGCAAATTTGGTTTTCGGTCATCATTCTTTTTAGCTAGTATTTGACATAATGTATTGAAGTAATTTTATAACTTTTTAAATTAAGCTCTAATTATGAATTTAGCACATATACTTTGAATTGGTCTAGATCAGTATGTTTCAACAAAATTGTCTTCAAATGTAAATTAGGCTAAAATGTGAATTTTGGAAAAAGATTTTGTTGGAAAGCATATTAAAGGTTTTCAACACTTACTCTTTCAAGTTTCACTAAATCGCCTTTTTGATCTCCTTTTGCTTTATAATATTTGTTTTTCAGACTTTGCTTTCAAGGTTTTAGATTTTCCTTATGCTAGAGAGAGCTGTGTGCCTTTAGCAAGAATGAAGTGAAAGGAAAAGAGAGTAACTGTCTGAACCTCTGAAATGTTCACTTCTTTCTTTTGTAGTTGTCCTATTTCATTAGTATTTTTACTGGGTTTTTAATCTGTCCTTATTTTTGTTTTTTTAACGTACAAGGTCATTTGCTGTGTTTGTTGACAGGTGCCAATTTGCTAATTGACAGCACTGGTCAGAGACTAAGAATTGCAGATTTTGGAGCTGCAGCCAGGTTGGCATCAAAAGGAACTGGTGCAGGAGAGTTTCAGGGACAATTACTGGGGACAATTGCATTTATGGCACCTGAGGTGAGAAGCATCTTTGAGTGTGATGAAAGAAAATATTTTTGAGTTCTGTGTAACAGCATTATACTAAACCATCTTGCAGTAATATCCAGTATGTACTTACCAATTAGAAGTCCATGGCCCTTAAAATACGGTTTTAATAGTATCTTTCATTGAGACCCTTCTTCCCAACCTTTCTGTCTTTGCCTTGACACAATTCAAAAAATAGGTTCTAATAGATTTGCTTAAGGGCTGTTACTAATAAAGAATTTTGGGGTAATTTATAGCTGTTGTTTCGTAGTAAACTCAAAGTGCACATAACAAATTTTAAAAAATATTCCCTCTCTATTCTAAAAGGAGATGAGCATACAGAGGCAGGTTCTGTCAGTAGTGGAAGGAGTTTAAGCATTGTTATTCTGATTCAGCCTCTTCTGTCGTGTTCATAATTCTTCATGTTCATATGTAGTAATGTTTGTTGTCCTCTTGCCACTTAGTTTGCTAAGAGCAAAATTCTGTGATGTGACTCTGCTTCAGAATCTCACAATTCTCCAAAATATTTTTGTATACCTGGAAAATTAAGCTATTAATGAAATAAATTAGATTTAGGTAGTCCACATAATTGCTGTTTGTACCAGTTTTCTCCCTAAGGTAAGAAAGTAGAATCTATAACTACAAATTGGCCTTCTCTTTTTTCAAATGAGTCATATTTCCAAATTAACTCTGATTTATTTTAGGTACTAAGAGGTCAACAGTATGGAAGGAGCTGTGATGTATGGAGTGTTGGCTGTGCTATTATAGAAATGGCTTGTGCAAAACCACCATGGAATGCAGAAAAACACTCCAATCATCTTGCTTTGATATTTAAGGTAATTGTGAGATAAAAATTACTTCTTGGTGCTAAAAGGAGTACAGCAGAATTTGGCAGGAGGCAAATTTTGATGGGTTCTCCCTAACAATCTAGCATGAAGGTAAATAAATAAATTGTATATTTATTCAGAGAGGATTTGATACACAATTTTTTTTACTTTAAGATGATGTAAAAGCAATACAAATTCAGTAAAAACCATACTTTGAATTTTGATTTTTTTCTGAGCTAGCAATATGTGGTACGATATAATCTGATGATGCCAGGCAGTGGCAGCGAGTCACAGCTCCCAGTCAGCCACACAGTCATGAGAGTAAACAACCAATACTCTATAGTGGACTGTGTTGTCAGATGATTTTGCTGAACAGTAGGCTAATATAGGTATTACAAGCACATTCAAGGTAGACCAGACTAAGCTACAGTGTTTGGTGGGTTAGGTGTATTAACTGCATTTTTCAGCTTACAATATCATCAACTTAAAAGGGTTTATCATGACATAACCTCAGCATAAGTCGAAGAGCGTCTGTGTATATTTCCAGTAGTTGGTATTGTCAGTGGTGTTGTCAATGTTAGTGACATATATAGTCACTTGTTATTTGAGGTAGTTATGCTCTGTTAAGTTGCTACGAATATTGAATTAGCAAATAGTAAAACACTGCTCCTAGAAGAAATTAGAAGAAATATGTACTGCATTTATATATATGTGTATCTATATCCATCCATCACTTTTAAAACGTGAAATTCCTCATGCATTTTACATAATTCAAAATTTTTTAAATCTAATTGACCATTTTCTTTTGTTTGTTTTTTGTTTTTGTTTTTGAGACAGTCTCGCTGCAGTGCCCAGGCTGGAGTGCAATGGCGCGAACTCAGCTCACTACAACCTCTGCTTCCCAGGTTCAGGCAATTCTCCTGCCTCAGCCTCCTGGGTAGCTGGGACTACAGGCACGTGCCACCATACCCAGCTAATTTTTCTATATTTAGTAGAGATGGAGTTTCACTATATTGGCCAGGCAGGTCTTGAACTCCTGACCTCAAGCCCGCCTTGGCCTCCCAAAGTACTGGGATTACAAGTGTGAGCCACCACATCTGGCCTAATTTACTATTTTGTATATTTTTAAAATTCACACCCAAGTCAGTTCAGTCCTGTCTACCTTTCGTACCTTTTTATAACTCACAAATCAGTTATCTCCTTTTCCACCATAGAATAGGTAATGGTTGAGATTTTTAGCTTTTCAGTTAGATGTGATGGTTGAAATCATGGGCTTTGGAGTCACACCGACCTAGTTTTAAACCCTGGCTCTACCCCTTATTGGCCATGTGATCATAGGAAAATTATTTTTTGTATCTACCCTCTATTTTCTCATATGTAAAATTGGTGCAAGAACCCCATGAAGCACGTACTTCGTGGGATTACTATGAAGATAAACAAAATTACACCTAGGCCTTAGTCAAGCACTCAGCCCACACAGTCAACTCCACCTGCCGTAACCTCCTGCAGTGCTCCCCACACTTACTATATAACCTCCTCAGTCACCTCTCTGACAATACCTGTTTTGTATTACCACCTCATTTCCTCTATTCTTTCAGACGTCCAATGTTCCTTCTCTATGTGGTTCAGATTCTTACTCTCTTTAAGGCCCACATTTTGTGCTTCTCCTGCTTAGGCACCCGCTTTTAACTCCTTCCACAGATTCTCCTAGCATTTTAGTACATACTTGTTTCTGACACTTTGTTTCTTGTCTCCTAGTTACGTTCCTGTCTTGCCTCCTTTTTCAAACTACCTCACGTCTGATTCATTTTTTTCTTTTCAGAGTCTTATACAGAAGTTGCTCAATAAATACTCATGGCTAGGATCAATTTGAAAGTTTGATGTTATTTTAAGAGTTTTGGTGAGACCCTGGAAACAATTGTAAATAATTTTCAAATTGGCACAGTTCATATTTTAACAGATTTCATGGCATTTTCCTTCCTAGGTAAAGTTTAAAGAAAATTGTACTATAACATTTTCAGTTTCCTTAACTTGAAGTAAATACTTTGAGGCCTTTGGAATCACCCCAAAGCTTTCTCAAACACTTCCATACCCTGTTTATGATAGTATTAATTGTGTAGCATGTTTTTTTAGAGAGTGATTTGGCAATATCCGCCAGAATTTTTAATGCACTTACTCTTTGACTCAGCTATGCCCATTGTTAGGAATTTACTGAAGATTACGTCTAGAAGTACCAAGTGTCAAGTTCAAGATTATTCAGTGTACTCAAGAAAGTAATTAAATTATCCACACTATACAGAAATTAAACAAGTGTAAAGCTGTTGATGTTGATTTACAAAGTGCTACAAGATTATATTATTAAGTGAAAAGAGCAAGGTATATAAAGTGATCCTGGCCAAGCACAGTGGCTCATGCCTGTAATCTCAGCATTTCGGGAGGCTGAGGCGGGAACAGAGCTTGAACCCAGGAGTTGGAGAGAAGACTGAGCATAGTGAGACCCCATCTCTATTAAAAAAAAAAAAATTAACTGGGCATAGTGGCACCACCTGTGCTCCCAGGTACTCAGGAGGCTGAGGTGGGAGGATCGCTTGGGCCCAGGAGGTCAAAGCTGCAGTGAGCCGTGTTCAAACCACTGCACTTCAGCCTGGGTGGCAGAGTGAGAGGGAGACCCTGTCTCTAAATTAAGTTTTCTCTTTTGTAGACATTTTTAGAAAGTCTTAAGTCTGTGAATGTATTGGCCTTTTTTCTCCACAAACACACACACACACACAAATCATCAACAGTAAGTTACATTTGGGGAGAAGGAAGAGGGACTTTAATTTTTTGTTTTGTATTTTTCCTTTTTGTGGTGTGTAAGATGTGTATATATCAGCTGAGTATATTGTGATATAGGATCACAGACCTTAGAGGAATTTTCTTTATATTATTTTGCATTTTTTTAACCCAAAGCATTTATGAAATTACTGGGATAGGGAAAAGAAAGAGTTTTCTTGTGATTAGGAGTGGGTAGGTGAGTTTAAAGTAGTCAGACTTAAAACTTTTTTATAAAATCATTCTTCATAGTGTATTTGATACTAAGAATCAGAATTTGTCCAACATGGAAGGAAAAAAACAATGCAGTTGTGTTTTCTATGTATTAAATTGACTCTTCAGTTTTAGTCTTTCTTAATCTAAATAGCTCTCTGCGCTGAAGAAATAGAAAACGTGCAGTAAGAACAAACCATCTTGGAGACTGACTATGAGGACAGCAGAATCCATTTGAGTGAATACTTTACCTGAACATTTTGATGTACTTAGCCTTGTTGATTTAAATAATAAGGAATAGGATAGATTTGATCAAATCCTAAAATCCTAAAAGTTGAAAGACTGTTAGAGAAAACCTCCCATCCGGTGGATGAATCTTTTATAGACTTTCTGATAACAGAAAATCCTCCCACTTCTGCTTCATTTCTCTCTGTTCAGGATGTAAATGTAAGGGTTATGAGGTCGATGCACATGTGCTTGTGTATCAGAAGTTCCAGTCGTGCAAAGCTTCAACACTCTGGCTTTTTCTCCACAGATTGCTAGTGCAACGACTGCTCCATCGATCCCTTCACATTTGTCTCCCGGCTTACGAGATGTGGCTCTTCGTTGTTTAGAACTTCAACCTCAGGACAGACCTCCATCAAGAGAGCTACTAAAGCATCCAGTCTTTCGTACTACGTGGTAGCCAGTTATGCAGATCATCTACAATAGAAACAGGATGCTCAACAAGAGAAAAAAACTTTGGGGAACCACATTGATATTCTACTGGCCATGATGCCACTGAACAGCTATGAACGAGGCCAGTGGGGAACCCTAACCTAAGTATGTGATTGACAAATCATGATCTTTACCTAAGCTCAGTATGCAAAAGCCCACAACTAGTGCAGAAATTGTAAACCGTGCCTTTCAAAGAACTGGCCTAGGTGAACAGGAAGACAGTGAAGTTTGCATGACTGAATTGCAGAAGCATAATTTTATTTTTTGGGGGCACTTTTTCAGCAATATTAGCGGCTGAGGGGCTCAGAATCTATTTTAATATTTGAAATATTCTTCCATTTCATATAGTGATCACAAGCGGGGGTTCTACAATTCCGTTCAAATTTTTTGTCACTGGCTATAAAATCAGTATCTGCCTCTTTTAGGTCAGAGTATGCTATGAGTAGCATTACATACATATATTTTTAAAAGTTGATACTTCTTTATGACCCACAGTTGGCCTTTATTTTCTTAAACACCTGGGCAATTGTGGCTCATTGTGCATTTTACTGTTGGCCCATTCATTTCGTTTTTGGAAATTATGGTTTTGTATTTTCATTTTTATTTACATTCATTTTTGTTTATTCAGGGAAAGGTGATCTTTTTTTCAAACCAGAAAAAAAAAAAAAAAACTAGATATGAACAAGAGTTCATTAAATATCTTGCTATTGTAAAAGTTTTTAAAATACAGACTTAATTTTGTTTTTTATATTGGAATACAATAAAGTACTACCTACATTTGAGTCAGTCACCACTCTTATTGTGCAGGTTAAATATAAACTAAAAATTAACTGTTCTCTGTGATGCAACTCACAACGAAGATCAAGATTACCTTAAAATTTATTTGAATTTTTTAGATGTTTTGGTTGTCAAACTGTAGGAAACTTCACAACATTTAAGTCTTATTCTGTATGTAACAATCCATCATTCACCTTCACTACTGGTAATAACATATGACTGCCATTTTCCTTTTACCATGCATCATCTCTTTACAGTAGGCCTGGCAGATCATTTTTAAAAAAGATTATTCAACTACCAATCAGTAATGTTTTTAAAGAATACATTTGCTTTGAACTTGGAAAATGTGTTCAGAAAGAAAAGTGGAATTGAATTTCATTTATACACTAATTCCTTGGATTTTGCACAGTTACCTAATGGTTTTAGTCTGGAGTTAAATTCAGATGCATGGAATCCTGAAGGAAAATGGTAGCTTTTTAATCTTTTTGTGTGTGTGTGAGTCTTTTAAATCAAATACTGATTAACTATTAAATACAACTTTTGAGATTTTAGTTTTAACTCTTCAGAAGCCAGTGTGAAATAGAATTGGTTATTCTCAAAGACTCAGGATAAACTAAATAAGCTATATAGAGTACATTTAAAATGTACAACACAAATTGGAAATACAGTAAGTTACAAGATAAGTTTACAGGGATATATTGCTTATAATTTTTAAAAGGCAGTTTGTTTTTTATGTGAATATGTTTCTTAGTGAAATTTTACATTCCTTTGTTTTGGAAGATTGGCGATATTTGAAGAGTTAAAAATAGTACAGAAATGTGAAGTTTGGTAGCTCTAAATGTGTTGTACTTGACTTTCTGTTTTATTTTGGGTTTTTTTTTTTTTTTTTTTGACTACTTAGAATTTTCACAATTCTAATAAGATTGTTTCCAAGTCTCTCATGTGCAAGCTTTAAAGGATGCACTCTTGCCATTTTATGTACTGGAAGATCATTGGTCAGATGAATACTGTGTCTGACAAAAATGTAAACTGTATAAACTGAGGAACCTCAGCTAATCAGTATTACTTTGTAGATCACCATGCCCACCACATTTCAAACTCAAACTATCTGTAGATTTCAAAATCCATTGTGTTTGAGTTTGTTTGCAGTTCCCTCAGCTTGCTGGTAATTGTGGCGTTTTGTTTTTTTATTTTGTTTTCAATGCAAATGTGATGTAATATTCTTATTTTCTTTGGATCAAAGCTGGACTGGAAATTGTATCGTGTAATTATTTTTGTGTTCTTAATGTTATTTGGTACTCAAGTTGTAAATAACGTCTACTACTGTTTATTCCAGTTTCTACTACCTCAGGTGTCCTATAGATTTTTCTTCTACCAAAGTTCACTTTCACAATGAAATTATATTTGCTGTGTGACTATGATTCCTAAGATTTCCAGGGCTTAAGGGCTAACTTCTATTAGCACCTTACTGTGTAAGCAAATGTTACAAAAAAAAAAAAAAAAAATCTCTGGGTTAAGAAAATTTGGCTTAAATGTATCCTTTGTTATTTTAAATATATTGAGATATTTTAATTAAAATTTTTACCCCATTGAACTGATTTTATAGTATTTGTACCTATTTTGGTGTTTTTGTCTTTATAGTAAATAAAAGTTTTTGAACAAATGTTGTTACTTTTATTTATTTTGAAATAATTTCATACTTATATAAAAGTTGCAAGAATACCACAGAGAACTTCTGTATACCCTTCACCCAAAGACCCTAGTATTTATGTCCTTTATAGCAAGAGGATCCAAACCAGGATCACAAGTTGCTCTCAGTTGTCATGTTTCTTCAGTCTCATTGAATCCAGGGCCATTCTTAGTTCTTCCTTGACCTTAATGGCCTTAATTTTTTAAAGATTTCAGATTATTATTTTATAGAAGCCCCTCAAATTGAGTTTGGTGCTGCTTCTTAATTAGATTCAGAGTACACACTTTTGGCAGGAACATCACAGGTGATGCTGTGCTCCTCTCGGTGTGTCATGTCAGGATGCAGACAGGTCGTTTGCCCCGTCACTGGTGATAACTGATAGTAACACTGTATAGTTACTCTTTCCTTTTATAATTAAAATCCACCTTTGTAATTGAAAGTATTCTTTAGGGGCGATATTTGAGACTACATAAATATCACGTTTCTTGCCCAGTTTTAACTCTCTGCTCTTAGCTTTTTTGCCTGAATATATTACTCTGATGGTTGCCAAATGGTGATCTAGTTCCTTCACTTCTTTGCAGCATTTTGCATTTTGCTGCAAAGAAGAGCTTTCCCTTCTCCCATTTATTTATCATGTATCATATATTTGCTAAAGTTGCGGATTTGCCCAGTGGGAATGTCTGAAAGCTGGCTTCTCTGTCCTTGGCAAGCCACCATTATTCTTTAAACACTTCCACACTTTCAGCCCCATCTTACGCCAAAGTGTCTCCTTTGGCACTGGGATCAGCCATTTTCCCAGAGCTCTGATTCCTTTGATGGAGAACAGTATTTTTAAAACCAAGATCTGGGTGCTAGATAGGCTCAATTCTACTGTGTGTCACCGCTCATTGGCTCTCTTGGTAGAGCTGGAATATATATATGAATATATACAGTTCTGCACACACTTGTAAAATATGCATACATATACCTACCTACATACATACACATAAAAACCATGAGCTCACACCAACCTTCCAATTGCAATCCAACGCCAACAGGGTTCACTCAAGCTTTCCCTTTTTCCAGATTTGTAACTTCCTTTTCAGGCAGTGAGAATCGTGACTCCGATTATTCCCAACATACTGACTGACTTGCTTAATTCTTCCCCTCCCCCATGTAACCAATCTCCATGCAGGATGGTTAATGCCAGAGTTCAGAAGCCATTTTGTTTCTCTACATTGGTTTCAAGTTTCTGTATGATTTGATTTTTTTTTTTTTTGGCGGGGGGACAGTCTCGCTGTTGCCCAGGTTGAAGTCCAGTGGCACAATAGCTCACTAAAGGCTCTGCCTCCCAGGTTCAAAGGATTCTCCTGCCTCCCGAGTAGCTGGGATTATAGGTGGACACCACCATACCTGGTTAATTTTTGTATTTTTAGTAGAGACAGGGTTTCACCATGTTGGCCAGGCTGGTCTCGAAATCTTGACCTCAGGTGAACCACCTGCCTCAGCCTCCCAAAGTATAATTTGATTTTAAATGTACATCTTTTAAATAGGTTTTGGGTATTTTTGCAAAAGGGTATATTTCTGTCACTTAAGAAAAATATTAAGTTGGAGAAAAGTTTTTGTTCCAGATGAATAGAATCAATTCTATTGCTCCTTAATTCTTTTTAAATGATACTAATAATTTTATAAAATGGGTGACAGTCTTCATGTCAGAAACCAGAAAAATGTTGGGCTATTATGCTCATATGGAAATGCCGATGATTGCATTTATGAGCTGATGTAAGTCATTTGTTATAAAACAATGCATGAAATAACTACAGTCAGGGAAAACAGTGACTAATGAAAACTTACACAAATTGCTGTCTTTCTATGTCATGACATGGTTTGGCCGTTTTAAATTATACTGTAAGCATAAATGCCAGGTTGAGCTGTGATGATAAAGGAAAGGACTGGCCTCTTGAAGTAGGTAATGACGGATTTGGTGACTACAGGACCTGAGATACAACCTGGGTTAAATCTTGTTCTGCCACTTACCTGCTACGTGACCCCCATTTTGACTTTCCGAACCTCCATTTCTGCATCTATAAAATGAAAGTGACACTGTTGTGAGAAGTAAGAGAGCCTATATAAATGGTGTCGAATAGTACCTGGCATGTAGTGAATGCACAATATGTGTTTTTATGAATGACCCAAAGGTCACAGACTCAAAACACCCACTGGACTAGATCCCCAGCAAGGCTTGTGGCAGACCTAAGAGTTTGCGTCAAGTTCATGTCCAAGGTAGGCCACTGTTACCATGTCAGAATGAAAGCCCAGTGTTGTCAAATGCTCTAAATTTTCAAGAGAAACTGGAAATCTGGATTTTAGGTGCAATTCCCTATGTTTAAACATTAAAAACTAATTTAAATCCTTATTAAGAACTATAAAAACTATTCGGGCTAGACTACTGGCCTGTGGCTGACTACCTTTGACCTCTGACCTGTGCCCAGACTTAGAAAACAAAAGAGGTAGAAAATTAGAGGGGAATCTCGGCTTTGGGAAATTGGATCTAAGACTTTTGTGTTTTTGTTTGTTTGTTTTTTGTTTGAGACAGAGTCTCGCTCTGTGACCTGGCTGGAGTTCAGTGGCATGATCTCCGCTCACTGCAACCTCCAACTCCCTGGTTTAAGCGATTTTCCTGCCTCAGCCTCCCAAGTAGCTGGGATTACAGGCACTTGCCACCACGCCTAGCTAATTTTTTTGTATTTTTAGTAGAGACGGGGTTTCACCATGTTGGCCAGGATGGTCTCGATCTCCTGACGTCATGATCTGCCCGCCTCAGCCTCCCACAGTGCTGGGGTTACCGGCGTGAGCCACCGCACCCAGCCAAGACTTTTGTCTTCTAAGATGTGAGATGAACAAAAGTGGAGATGCTGATTATAGATGCTAGAGAGCTTACCTCTGAAGAGAAAATTAATGTCTTAACTATACACACTAATGTGAAGTGCTTACCACTATAGCTCAAGTATCATGTTACAAAATATTAATATGCATATGTAGCATTCAAATATGTTGTCAATGTTAGAGTTAACTTTGTAGGTTTTATTTTGCAATAGCTAACTATCTGCACAATCTGTTACCAAAAGAACTCCATCGATGACTGAAGCCAATCTCATTAGTTGGTATGCAACCTGACATCTCTATACCCCATGCCTCATGGCCCTCAGTTTGTAGCTTATCAAATCTGTAGAGGTAAAACCAGCCTAAGCTGATGTGGTGAGGGATAAATCCTTCATGCCCCAAAATTCTTTTTCCCACAATGCTGAGATTCCTGTTAGAGTTTATTTTTGAGATAACTAAGTGATAGCTTCCCTTAAAGTCAATTTGCTTAATAAGATTTCTCAACATCTATGTAGACATAGTGAGAGGATGAGGATTGTAACCAGGGTGAAATGGAGAGAAAGGATAGGAGGAGAAATAAAAAGATGGGAGAGAGTGGCATGACGATATTTGTGCGTTACAGCACCCTTGCAGTATCTTGAAGAAAGAATCACATGGGCCAATACAAAAGGCAGGGAGAAAGAAGGCAATTGCAGTATCCAGAGCCTAGGTAAAGGTAGCATCATAGGAATGAGGAGGAAGAGACAAATCTGAGTGATATTAAACAGCAGAATTGAAAGATTGTAGAAATGACCTTGGGGGAAGGGTTATGAGGAGGATGGAGAATGACATCGAGGATGCCGTCTGCTATCCAGGCTTGGTCACCTGTGTGAACGCTGGTGCCGTTACTGATACAAGGAAATGGCAGGGGAGTAGATTGGAGGACAAGATGTGCTTTGGACATGTTAAATTCGAGTTGTCTGGAGGATATTCAAGTAGAAGTTTCCAGTAATACTGTATATGCACATCAGTACCTCCAGAGATACTTTGGTTGCAGATAATAAATGTGAAAGCTATTGACATATAAATGGTCACTGAAGCGATTGATAGATCATGTAGGGTTGTACTCACCTGCATGTAAAAGTGACTGGACACATAGCCTACGAACGAGAGAGGGTAAGCAGGTCAGGGCCGGTGTATTAGGCCTAGGATGTCATCGATGTTGCCATGCTTTATCTTTCCGCTCCACTCTTCTTAGCATGAGGCTTTCATCCTCAGGCTCCAACTCTGGTCTCCAATCTACAATCAGAGAAAGAAAAAGGAAAATAAAAAGGTAGTGCCTGTGTCAGGAAGACACAAGCTTTCCTAAAAATACTTCTGAGATTTTCACTCACATTTCATTTGACTAGAACTCCCCAGCTGTAAGGAAGTCGGAGAAGAATGGGCATCAAGCAGGTAACTTTACAGCATCTACCACAATGAGTGACAAGGGAAATGGGGGAGAATACTCAGGAGAATATGTTCAGTGAGGAAAAACCAACACCAGAACCCTGATGAAGACCAAGATTTAAGGCATAGACAGAAGCAGAATAGATAAAGAAGACAAGAGCTCATCTTCAGAAACTAGAAATGCACAGGGTCAGGGAAATCAAGAGAGGAGAATGTTTTAAAGAAAGGTCAGTAATTTCAAAAGCCACAGACGTCAGGTAAGATAAGAACTTCAGTCTCACAAGGGGAATGGCAAGGACCATTCCAGTGAAGCCAACTGGAAGGAAACATGATCATATCTGGGCAAGCATGGTCATGGAGATGACGTGCATAACCTACTTTGTCCAGAAGTCTGTCTAGGAGCAAAAGTGAAGGGAACAACGTGGAAGATTTAGCCAATTATGCAACATCCAGAAGAGGGCAGCAGAGTAAAACTTTTCTTTAATTTGCACTGACTGCCAGATATCTGAAAATCAAACGTTATCTCACCCTTTCTCAGGAATAGAGCAGAAATCTCAGTGCTCCCCTTAGAATGCTGAAAAAACTCAAAACAATCACTGAGAGTTGCATTTTTCCATTCTAAAACCTAGATTCAATGCTTATCTATTGCATAACAGGGTGTTCCTAGTCCCTCTACCTCCTTC